GTCTTCCTTGATCACAAAAAGCCTGAAAACACTGAATAAAGCAACGGCAAGAGCAGGATTTGAGGAGCCGGCGTGAGTAGGGAGTTCTGCATATTGAAAGTTCAGCTAGTGAGAAATAACCATCTGGTGAGCATGTACATCTCTGCTCCTGGATAAGCCGAGGATGAATTGCCTAATGGGAGCCAGCGCTCTGCCTGAGAGCGAGTAGTTACCAGGGTAAAGAGAATTACGTAAGAGCGAGATCTGCACTAACACATCGCTAACTAGATGTAATCTTTGGACTCAGGCTGAGGCAATTCTGCTGCAGCACAAAAACACTCCATGCCAGCGTAAAATAATTTGGTATTTGTCTTTTTGCTTACCTGAAGCACAATTTTGCTTCACTGGGTCCCCCAGATATTGTAGGCAACATCTAGAAATATGCTACTGTGAAATGTTTCAACGCTTTCTTTCTAATTATAGCTTTTGGTATCATTCACTCGGTTATAAGCAGAGTGAATCAGAACAGAAACATCAGGGAGGGTCGAGGGAAGAAACCTTTTACTAACAGTGAGCATCAGGACAGAAGAAATAGGGCGTCTCGTAAGGCAGTGTGGTGCAAAGTGCTCTTGTTTAATAGGAGATAGCGGCAATTTTCAGTTCTGGGTTATTCTGAAAAAATCCCAAATTTACAAATTCTTTGCAGAAAAGGAAGGGAACTTCCCAGCCATCTGCCTCGCTGGCTGCCAGCAAGGCTCGCACCTCGGAGGCACAAAGGGTTCCTGCTTCAGGCAGTCTGTGCTACTGGCTGCTGCACAAGTGCCGGTGGTGCAGCTCCAGGCTGACAAGGGGAGGAACCAGGTGGGTTTCCGAGCTGGGTTCCACCGATATTTCTGCAAAATTGCATGACTTGTGTGCGCCTTTCGGATTTCATCGAATCTCTGAGTTCTGACAAGGAAATTTACTATCAGTTCTTTCCTGAGCAGCTCTCTCTTGTTCTAGAGGAACCGGAAGGAAAGAAAGGAGATCGGAGAAACCTAGGATGGCTGAGCAAGGTGGGGAGAAAGCAGCGGGCGTTAGAGGAACAGGGATTTATGATGTTTGAGAAGTGGGGGAAAGAAGAAAGCTGGAAGACATATGTGTGCAAAGTATATTTTTAGATGTGAATGAAGGTGCATAGTTTTGCTATGGGTTTATTCTGAGTTACAGAGGGCAGTTGCATGCCCAGCTAGTGAAGGCATATAATCTCCAAGGCATGAGTGAATTCAGCTCCGCAAAGTTCCCAAAATAACATATTAAGCTGTCAAATGAGTATGACTGTTCAAATTCCTTACTAGGGAGTTAAAATTTGTCCTTAAACTGGTGGAATAAAATTAAAATTTGGGGTGGAATATAGGAAATTAGTACTTGCATACAACTTCTGCCACCTCTGACAAAAATAGAATTATCTTTCCGACATTTAAAAAAGAAAAAGATGATCAAATACCAAATCTATTGAGAACTGGGTTATCAAGTCATGTAGATTTTGATTTCTCTCCAAATTAGAAGTCTGAAAGCTAGTATTGGGTAAAATGTACGTGTAAATATCAATGTTCTAAACTGCTGAAAGGTCATTCCTATTGTATTTTATTGTTTAAGTCTAGAACAAATGGCAAACTCCTGCAAGGTAAACCTGGAGAGACATGCCAGCAGTTTTTTGAGATAAAGCCAAAGACATGGCTTTAGGAATAATATCGCCAACATTAAAAACGTCCCGTAATTTGGAGAGACAGCCAGGATTCGCTTTTGAAACTAACAGCTTGGGTAACCACTTTCAAATTCAATTTTACCACGTGTTTGCCTTCATATACTGTACAGGTACCCGTTTCATTACTTGGAATGCTTCTGTTCTGCTGAACAACTATGCGGATATGAACATCACCTGTCTCTAGAATTCTTTGACTATCTTTTTTTTTTAGTTGGCCATTACTTTTTCTTACCTATGCAACAAAACTCTTTGAAGAGATACGAGTCTAGCTTCATTAAAGCTCTTTTCTATGTTGTAAAAGTACATTACATGCTCCTAATGTGCTGCAGTGCACTGTGTTTTGTTTAAAATGTTTCCATGATCATCAAATGGTTTTCTGACAGGTTTAGGAAATATTCTGGAAGAATTTGAAGTGATGTTTTCCCCCAAATTATATATTCCTTTTATTTTCATACCTTTTTTTGCAGTCTAATCTATAACAATTATTTCTGGAAATTTCCCGTTGTTGTACAGTTGTGGCAGCATTTAGGATTTACCCCGCTACTTGTTCACTTACATGACAGCTCTTCCATCATCTTGCCTTGATGCCAAGAGCAAAGGACACATTTTCTGAATTATTTCTAAGCACAGAGATGGCACGATTCCTTAAGATAAGGAATATTTCTTTTACATGACTTACCCAAGTTCACCTGGATCTTCTATGTGGGTGTGTGAAAGAAAATACAGTTGTCCCCATCTTTTCTATAGCTAAATACACGCAATTGTTGGTATGTTTCCCAAAACGCAGACAAGGGCCCAACTTGTTCAGTGGAGTCAGAAAGAAAATTTAGCAAATAACTAGTCTGGGAGAGACAAATCACATTACCCTCCCCACCAACAGTTTCTGATGTTTATAGGGAAGTAATTTAATTGCAAACGGAGACAAATTTCTATTTCAGTCTCCATAAGTAATTACATTTTACTTGTCCTGACTCCAGTTCTAGTTGTCTGCTGGACAAAGGGATTTTCTCTAGCACAAGGCATCACTGCTCTGCTTGAACATCTCGGGTGCTTTTCTTTTATATTGATTGAGCGAGAAGGGACGGATCCAGCTGGTCGGAAGAGGACGAGTTTCCCAATGCAAGCCCTAGCCGGAGGCATTAGCTAACAGAGTCCCCTCTATTGCCTCGGCTGGGAACAGGGAATGAAACCATGGAAATAAAAAGTGCTAGAACATCTGAGAAAGCCTGAAATAAAAAGTAGGAACTTTTTATTGTCAGGTATCAAATGATGTAAGACCCATGAGGGAAGAGCAAGGATGTGGGCAAATACACTTTTTCTGTCAGTAAGCCTACAAGAGCAGCTTAAGGAAGATGCAGACTCACAATTTTTGAGCAGAAAGCAAAAAAAATGATTGCATAGCCAGCACGAGAACTGAACCCAAGGGCTGGCGGCGCACTTGTTACCCGGCCTTTTCCCCCCAGAAGAGGAATGGGCTTTGCACTGCATGAGCGCTACTTGGCTGAAGAGTCCTTCGGGCCAGGGTGAACATCCCGAACTCCAACCCCACACACTCAGCGTGCTGACTTAGGAACGTCTGGAATCGACACGTAGAAGAAATCTTGATAGTTTCTTTCTTAGCAGCGCCCAGGGAAGTATTTTGCTATGGAAGAGCTGAAGGAATTACTGACAATCTACCAAAGGCTGGGGGCTGTACAGCCTGGGCATGAGACTCTCCATCGCGATTTTTCTCTTTATCATTTGCAGGAGATGTTTCCCATCAGGACACTGGAAGGATCAGTTGCCACAGAAGTGGTCTTTTCGACGGCTGCTGTCTGGCCACGAGCCATCGCAAGGGGTTTCTATGAGGGATTATTTCTGTAGGAAAATTTATGTCGGTATACCACCTACGACCGTGGATGTCAAGCCAAGTGGACGGTCTCGTTTCCACTTCTGATGCAGTCTGCGCATTACTCCCCGACGCTGTTGACCGAGGTGGTTCCCTGCACAGGTTTGCCTCAGGGAGGGCCC